TGGAAAAACAAATAATAAGGAAAAATACTTGGAAGTTCAGTTATCTCTCAATACAGGGGTCACCAAACTTTTTTCACAGCGGGCTAGATAATTGAGAGAATGACGAGCGCGGGCAGCATAACCATTTTGTTCAATACAATACAGTGAATACACAAAAAATAGAGAAAAAAACATGTTTATTTTCCAAAAAGTTATCAAAGAAGACGACGTTAGCAATAAAATAGTTATATCACACCCAGTGCGCACATATCCGAATCTCACAAATTAAGCAGCAAAAAAGGTTTGTGAGATTTGTGAAACTGGCGTTTAGCTTTTGAGATATCATCAATATTTGCTTTGGAATTGCTGCATCCAACCAAGAGAATTGTTTTCAAATGTTCATCAGTCAACCTCACCTCTTTCGATGTGCTGACTTCACATAATTCATTTTTGAAAATGTTTGCTCACAGATATAAGTTGTTCCAAACACTGATGCCATACCAGAGGCAAATTTCTTCAACTTTGAAAACTCATCATCAGGTAAGCGGCGATAAAATTCAACAAGTTTTCCTTTTCTGTGCTTCTCTTTCAACAAGTCATTTGCTTGAAAATCAATGAGCTCCAACTGTAGTTCGACTGGCACATCATCAAGGTTACAATCAAACGGATTCTGGAACAGAAGAATGACACTCTCAATTCTGTCGAGATCTGAAAATCTCTCCAAAAAATGCTTATTTAAATCACTAATAATCTTCTTCGGAAACTCGAGGTTGACATCTTCTGTGATTCCAGCACGAAACTCTTTGAAACACTGACAATGAGAGAAGTTTCCTCCTTCCAGTTGTGCTTCAAACAATGATAGCTTTCTCCGAAATCTTTTGATGATTCTGTAGAGATCACAGATAAGGTTATCCTTTCCCTGAAGTTTCGAGTTCAATTCAATCATGTGGGATGTGATGTCAACCAAAAATGACAACTTTGACAACCAGGTAGGATTTGACAGAAGTGGATCAGCTCTATCCTTTTCGGTGAGAAAAATATCTATTTCTCTTTGGAGCTTATCAAAACGAAATAGGACTTTACCGCAGCTGAGCCACCTCACTGCTGTGTGATAAGGCAAGTCACAGAATTAAGAATCAATTTCTTCAAGAAAAGCCTGTAACTGGCGATGATTAAGTGCATGACCCCGAATGAAGTTCACCGCAGAAACGACTGGTTTAGTACGCAAGAAATATCTAAGTCTTTCCCACAGAGTGCTTGCTGATGTATAATGCAGTATATAAACAGAGCGCCCGGGAGTTGAAGATCTTCCAACTTAGTTCGTTTCTGCCCCACCAGACCCTTCCTCACTCCAACCATGTTTTTTCCTCCATCAACTGTAACACATCGAAGCTGATTCCACTGAAGGTTATAGCCTTGCAAAGTTTTCTGCACTTCCATGAAAATGTCTTCTCCAGTTGTTGTTCCGTGTATGCTGCAAACGGATGCCAACTTTTCTGTGATCTGAAAATCCAAATTAACACCACGAATGAAAACGAGAAGTTGGACGTACTCGAGAGATCAGTAGACTCATCCAGCACCAGAGAATACCACAAGTTCCTAGCTTTCTCGCGTATCTTAACACCATGTTCTCTTCAAGTTCTTCTGTTCTCCGCATAACTGAACTTGCTGAAAGGCTGATACTTCCGAACAAATCGGCTTTCTCAGGACACAAGTTATTTGCTGCTTCCATCATACACTCTTTTATAAAGTTGCCGTCAGTAAACGGGTTTTTCTCGCTCTGCCATCTTATGCACTATTTTGTAACATGTACGAGTGACAGATTCATTTTCAGCAAACATTCTCGTGAAGAGATTCCTTTGAGATTCCAAAGTACGTTTCATGAACTCAAATTTCTCAGAACGCAATGTTCCAGAAAACTTCGAATATGTTGACAGATGTTTTGTTTCATAGTGATGCCGAAGACTGTACTCTTTAAAAAACGGCAACACTTTCGTTGCATATCATACAACTAGCTTTCTGATTGTTTGTATCCACAAAGATGTACTTTTCTCCCCATTCT